TGCCGCCGTGACCTTTGCACGACACGTTCTATAGCGTATGGCACAGCGGTTACTAGGAAGGTTGAGGCCAGCGGCAGGCCGGTTTACAAATAACAAACAAACTTGACGCGCAATTGACAACAGGTAACAGATTAATTAATAAGGCGGTGACAATATAAATAAAAATGACAACATGAAATGACAAATCGCATAGATGACAAATCGCATAGATGACAAATCGCATAGATGATCCCTACAGTACCCCCTCGCCAGACATGTCGCGGACAAAAGTGACATGGCGATATCTTACCGGAGGTCGTATGACGCGGCCGGAGCGGGTCGTCCGTAGTATCGGCCGAGGCTGCAATGGTGCAGCGTCAGCCCGAGCGACGGCTGCAGGGCGATTTGGTGCGTCACCGTAGATCAGAAGCTCCGGGCCGCTGGGCTCATTGCTGAGCGGTGGCGCGGCCGGCGGGCCGCTGGACTGAGTACCGTGCGGCTGCACAGTCGGCAGGTCAGACTGTCGATGACCGGATTCGTCTGGCGTCTCCAGGAAGGCGGCCTTACACCGGTCGATGCTGATGACTTCCTTTTTCTGTCGACGGTCGATGGTGATGGTTTTGGTGGTCCTTTCGGTAACCGGGAACGGTCCGTCGTATGGAGCGTCCAGCGGGTAGCGGTGACAGTCCCTGCGCACGAAGACGTGTGTCGCCGTCTGGAGTGCCGTTGGGACGTACGTGGCGCGCTGGACCGGACGTGGGAGTGTCGGCCGCACCTGAGACATGGCGCGCTTCAGGTCTTGTACGAAGCCGGCCGGTGATGCTGCTGAGGCTTGGCTGCTGATGAAGAACTCGCCGGGAAGCCGCAGTGAGGAGCCGTACACCAGCTCGGCTGACGTCGCCTGCAGGTCCGCCTTGATGGTGGAGCGGATGCCCAGGAGCACCAGCGGCAGCACGTCCGTCCATGACGTAGCGTGGTGTGCACGAAGGCTGGCCTTCAGCTGGCGATGCAGGCGTTCCACCATACCGTTGCAGGCCGGGTGGTAGGACGTCGTCCGAGTTCGCTGGCAGCCCAGGAATCGCTGTAGCTCCGACCAGAGGGCCGACTCGAACTGGGCGCCTCGGTCCGTCGTGATGATGGACGGAACGCCGAATCGGGCGATCCAGTGCTCGAGGAAGGCGCGGGCGACCGTGGTGGTGCGGATGTCCGGCAGAGGGATGGCTTCTGGCCACCGAGTGAACCGGTCGACGCACGTCAGGAGGTACGAGTGCCCTCTTGACGGCGGCATCGGGCCGACGAGGTCCACGTGGACGTGGTCGAAGCGTTGCTGAGGTGGCTGGAAGGTGCCGACGTCAGACTTGGTGTGCCGGCCGATTTTGCAGCGCTGACAGGCGAGGCAGGTTCGGGTCCAGCGGCGCACGTCGCGATCCATACCAGGCCAGACGAACCGCTTAGAGACGAGCTTGACGGTGGCCTCGACGCCAGGGTGCGACAGGTCGTGCAGAGCCTTGGCGAAGGGCCGGCGCAGAACCACTGGGAGGACCGGCCGAGGCGATCCGGTGGACTCGTCGCAGAGCAGACGGAGTCCATCGCCGACCGGAATGTGGCGCAGGCGCAGTGAGGTGTCTGAGGCCTCGAGGTGTTCCAGCGAGCCGTCTTCGGACTGGGCCTTGGCGATGGCAGCGAAGTCGGCGAGCTGGGGTCGCGGCTGGGCCACCATCGAGACCGTGCGTGACAGCGTGTCGGCGACCACGTTGTCCTTGCCAGGGACGTGGCGGATGTCAGACACGAACTGGCCGATGTAGTCCAGGTGGCGGACCTCTCGTGGCGAGTAGCGGTCGGACGAGGAGCCGATGGCCGTTACCAGCGGGCGGTGGTCTGTAAAGACGATTGCCGACCGGCCTTCGATGGAGTGTTTAAAATGCCGGACGGCCAGGTAGATGGCGAGTAGCTCACGCCCGAACGTGCTGTATTTCTTCTCCGAAGGCTGGAGCGTTTTCGAGAAGAAAGCGAGGGGCTGCCACTCGCCGGCGACGTGCTGCTGGAGGACGGCGCCCACTCCGCAGTCCGAGGCGTCGACGAAGAGGGCGAGCGGCGCGTCCGGGACTTGGTGTGCGAGATGTGTCGCCGTGGCCAGGGCGTCCTTGACGTTCTTGAAACGCTGTCGCGCCGAGTCTGTCCACGTGACAGGCGCTCTCGAGCGTTTTGCCTTGTGGGTGATTAAGGCGTGCAGAGGTTGCAGGAGCTCGGCTGCCTGGGGGATGAAGCGGTGGTAGTAGGCTACCATCCCCAGGAACCTCCGTAGCTGGGACTGAGTGGTCGGTTCCGGGAAGTCTTTGATGGCCTCGACTCGTCCAGGCAGTGGGCGGACGCCGTCGGCGTCTACCGAGTGGCCGAGGAACACCACCTGCTCCTGTCCCAGGACGCACTTGTGCCTGTTGACGACGACGCCGTAGGTGTTGAGGCGCTGAAGCACTTGGTCCAGGAGCTGTAGGTGGTGTTCGGCAGTCGGGCTGGCCAGCAGAATGTCGTCCAGGTAGACGAAGCAGCCCGGTATGCCGCGGAGGACCTCATCCATGAAACGCTGGAAGGTCTGTCCGGCGTTTCTGAGGCCGAACGGCATCCGAACGCATTCGTAGAGGCCGAACGGTGTCGTGATGGCTGTCTTGGGGACGTCGGCAGGTTCCACCGGGATCTGGTGGTAAGCCTTCACCAAGTCAATGGTGCTGAAGACGGTGCACCCATGTAGGTCGGCTGAAAAGTCCCGCAGGTACGGCAGCGGGTAGCGGTCTGGTACGGTGCGGGCGTTCAGCGCTCTGTAGTCGCCGCAAGGACGCCACTCGCCGGGTCTCTTCTTTGGCACCATGTGGAGTGGAGTTGTCCAGCTGCTGCTCGACGGTCGAATGATGCCTTGCTGGAGCATCTTGTTGAACTCAGCACGTGCGATTTGAAGGCGCTCCGGCGGGAGGCGTCGCGGCCGCTGGTACACCGGTGGACCCTTAGTGACGATGTGGTGCGTCACGTTGTGCTTCACCGGTGTTGGTCCAGGTTTTGGTGAGGTCACATCCGGGTACCGGGCGAGGACAGCTGCGAAGCGAGCAGCAGCCTGCTCCCGGACGAGACGCACTCCGATGGAGCACAGCCGTGACCGCTCGGCGCTGGCGCAGACGGTGCCGTCCCGCAGGAGACGCTGGTTGGCAACGTCCACGACGAGGTGATGTGCGGCCAGGAAGTCGGTGCCCAAGATGGGTGTGGTGACGTCAGTGACGAAGAATCGATGTTTCAGGCGGTGCTGCTGACTCAAGGTGACGTCCAGCAGGCAGGTGCCGTGCACCGCGATCGGTGAGCCGTTTGCCGCGACGAGCTGCTGGCTGACAGGAGCAGGGGTCAGCGTAGACCCGTTGGGCAGGCAGCGGCGAGGCAGCACGCTGACCTGCGCCCCGGTGTCGACTAGAAATTGCCGGTCCGTCTCCGTGTCCCTCACGAAGAGTAGTGGCGCGGCAGGAGGGGCGCCCGTGCTTTGCGCCATTAGCACGGGGCGCCTCAGTTTTCCGAGGCGATCCAGGAGCACGGCAACTTGCATCGGCGCGCTTGGGCGCCGAATCGCTGGTGGTACCAACACAGCGTGTTGTCGTGCGGCGGCGTTGAAGGACGAGCCGGTGACGGGCGGCGTGACTGGCGAGATGCCTGGCGCGGCCGGGAACGGCTGCGGTCGCGTCGCACGGCGTCCTCGAGTCGTCGGTTGCTGGCCTCCAGGCGCTCCATCTTAGCGACCAGGGAGGCGATGACGGTGTCCAGCGCAGGGGTTGCAGCTGGCGCTGGGGCTGTCACTGCAGCAGCGATGGGCGGTGCCGGCTGTGTGTACGGCTGTGCCGCGATCGCTGATAGCCGTGGGTCCGGTCCGCTAGCTTCCAGATACCGGTCGGCCGCTTCTGCCAGTGCGTCAAGCGTGCTGTCGGCTGGCAGGAGGGCGAGGGCAGCACGGACGGGCTGCGGTAGCCGTTGTTGAAAAAGGGTACGGAAGAGCTCTGTATCAACCGGGGCGTCCCCGGCTGCGGCTAGCTCGTTGCGCATTGAGCGCAACAGCGCCGTCGGCTTCTGATCGCCGAGCTGTTGGCGGCCGAGCAGGGCTTGTAGTCGGTCGGCGCGTGACTGTGCCAGGCGGGCTTGGAGCGCCGCACACAGCACGTCAAAAGACCGAGATGACCGGATGACGTCCTTGACCTGGACGGCGATGTTGGCGGGGAGGTTTGCGACGAGGAGCTTAAACCTCAGCTCGTCGGAGTCGACCCCGCTGACGTCGAAAGCGCACTGCACCTGCAGTAGCCACAGGTCGGGCTCTTCCGGAGAGTATGGTGGTAGCCGGAAGCTAGCCATGGGCCGATGAGTTGACTCGGAGGCTGAAGCTGGAACGCTGGCTGGGTCTTGAGCTGCGGCGCCGGACTGTGCGCTGTCCGCGGGCATGACGAGAGGCTAAGGTCGAACAACGGGGATCACGTCGGGGTCACCAATTGTCGTACTGCGCTGTGGGTAGCGCGTGGCTGGACGGACGGTCTGTGACAATCTATTGATCTGTGGCTGATCTATTAGAGTGTCCGTCCGAGAGCCGTACGACGGCTGACAGAGCCTGGGGTGTTCTGTCGTGGTCTCAGTCCCCGCGCACAGACCGGGCGGAACGGTACGAGATGTATTCCTCGTTCTCGGCTCAGTGCACGCGTAACAGGCGATACGTTATACGTTCCCCCTCGCCGGGCGCCGGTGCGCGACTGACGTCACAGCGCCAACCCGCGATTGGCGCGCCCCCGACGGCGTCCGCACAAACTCCCGGTTATTAACACCGCGCAGAGGTGGCGCGACGCCACACCCGGCCCCCCTTACTAATGAACAAACTTCCCCACTTAGAAAGGAGAAACAGGTAGTAAGATGAAAAGCAAACCAACGCGGATCTACGCAATATAGCTCGCGTCCACACATATTTAACTGACCATACAGCGATTCCCTAGCTCGGGGCGCATTTCTACTCACACCTCCGCGATCAGACGGCGCGTGGGCTTGCGCTGTCTGTTGGAGAGGCGGCGAGCGGTTTCGTTGGCGGCACCATCTCGGGCTACGCCGCCGGAGCCTGTCACCTCACCGGCGCCGCCGCCCTCGACACTGGAGGCGCCGGTCGGCATGCCCGAGCCGCCGTCACGTGCCGCACACGCCTCCCCGGTGTGCGCGCTGCTGCTGCTGGCCGCTCCGACACTTGCCGCCGAGCTCGAACCGGCGGCCGCTGCTCCGTCGCCGACCGGTGAGCTCGAACCGGCGGCCGCTGCTCCGTCGCCGACCGGTGAGCTCGAACCGGCGGCCGCTGCTCCGTCGCCGACCGGTGAGCTCGAACCGGCGGCCGCTGCTCCGTCGCCGACCGGTGAGCTCGACCCGGCGGCCGCTGCTCCGTCGCCGACCGGTGAGCTCGCGCCGTCACGGCTGACGGCCGCGCGTGCGGTCTGGCCGCCGTCCGCCCACTGACGTTCATGGGGAGGAGCCAGTCCGGCCCGCCTGGTGACTCCGCTGCCGCCGCCGCCGCCACTGTCCCCTCCTGCCTCGGGTGAGGCGCCGCTGGGAGGGCGCTTGCTGCCGTCGTTGCCGGGGGCGGCAGGGTGGCCGTCCGCTGCCAGTAGCTGATCCGCATGTCGGGACCACACCGCGCCGCCGATGTCCACTTCGTAGGACACAGGCCCGGGCCGTGCCACCACCGTGCCCCGGGTCCACTTTTGTCGGCCGCCGTACGCGCGGGCCCACACGGCCGCCCCCAGCCGGAACTCGCGCGCTCGGCCACCCGCTGCCAGTTGCTGTTCCACCCGGGCCGCGCGCAGAGTGGCGTCGGCACACGGCACCAGCAGGTTAAATCGTGTGCGGAGATTCCGGCCGTAAATCATCTCCGCTGGCGTCCGCCCGGTCACAGCGTGTGGGGTTGAACGGTACGCGATCAGGAATCTGGCTAGCGCCCGCTCAGGTGACACGCCCGCCTCCGCCGCCGCCTTCAGGCCGTTTTTCAGCGTACCAACGGCCCGCTCCGCCAGCCCATTGGACGATGGGTGGTACGGCGCCACTCGCGTGTGTCGGATGCCGTTCGCCGTCATGAACGCGGCGAACTCCTCGCAGGCGAACTGAGGACCATTGTCACTCACAAGCTGCACCGGGAGTCCCAGTCGAGCGAACACCGTGCGCAGTGCCGCCACCGTCCGCTCCGCCGTGGTGCTTTTCATAGCCAGCACCTCCAGCCACTTGCTATAGCTGTCCACGATCACCAGGTAGCTGTAGCCCAGCAGCGGTCCGGCGAAGTCCACATGGACTCGCTCCCAGGGCCCGCCGGCCGGCTCCCATGGGTGACGGATAGCGTGAGGTGGCTCCGCGCGCTTGGCTGCGCACGCCGCACAGTCCCGAGCCGCCGCCTCCAACTCCGCATCCAGACCGGGCCACCAGACAAATCTCCGTGCGAGCTGTTTCATCCGGGCGCACCCGAAATGTCCCTCGTGTAGCTCGTTCTTCACCTGCGTGCGCAGGGCCCGCGGAATTACGATCCGGCCGCCCCACAGCACGCAGTCTGCGTCCGTTGACAGTTCCTCCTGGCGGGTTTTGTACGGGACGAGGTCAGGATCCACGACTGCGTCCCAGCCCGATCTGACCGCCGCCAGTACCCTGGCCAGTACTGGGTCTCGGCGGGTGGCCGCGGCGACGTCCCTGGCTGTCAGCGCCGGTCCGTTCTCTGTCATGAACAGCACGCTGTGTCCATTGGAGTCGGCCTCCTCCTGCGTCGCCGCCTGCTCGTCCACCCGGCTCCGCACCGGCAGTCGGGAGAGAGTGTCGGCCACTCTCATCTCCTCCGTCCTGCGCAGCTCCACCCGGTACTGGTAGGCCGCCAGCTGGAGAGCGTACCGCTGCATCCGGGCTGCGGCGAGCGATGGCAGCTCTCTGTCCGGGCTCAGTATCCGAGACAGCGCTCTGTTGTCCACGACCAGCGTGAACGGTCTGCCGAACAGGAACTGATGAAATCGGCGGATGCCGAACGAGACTCCAGCCGCCTCCTTCTCCACCTGCGCGTATTTCCGCTCCGTCGGAGTCAGTGTTCGTGACGCGTAGCTCACGGGTCGCTCCAGCCCGTCCGGCGTCACGTGGACCAGAGCGGCTCCCAGCCCGGTGGCGCTGGCGTCCGTCACGAGCTTCAGAGGGAGTGAGACGTCGTACCTCATCAGCACTGGCGGGGAGGACAGCATCCTCTTCACCCTGCTCACAGCCGCTGAGCAGGCCGCCGTCCACCGCCACGACACGCCCTTTTTTAGTAGGGCGTACAGAGGTGCCAGGACCGTGGCGAGGTCCGGCAGCATCCTCTGGTAGTAGCTGACCGATCCGATGAACGATCTCAGTTGATCGACGTTGGTCGGTTCTGGTGCCTCCTTCACTGCCCTGGTCTTGTCCTCCAGTGCCTTCAGTTCAGTAGCAGAGACCTCCCATCCCAGGTACGTGACCTTCTCGGCGTTAAACACGCACTTCTCTCTCTTCAGACGCACCCCGTTCGCCTTCAGACGCTCCAGCACTTTGTCCAGCCGCTCCACAAGCTGCTCCTCCGAGTCTGCAGTCACCAGCAGGTCGTCCAGGTAGCACACGACCCCCTCCAGTCCATCAGTCACCTGGTCAATGACCGACTGGAACAGAGCTCCACATGTGGCAATGCCGTAGGGCAGGCGGTTCATCCTGTAGGCGCCCCGCTGTGTTGTCACAGTGGTCATGTCCTTCGACTCCTCTGTCAACTCACACTGTTGATAGGCGCATTTACAGTCCAGTTTGGCGAACCTTTTGCCCTTGATGCAGGCAAACAGCTCCTCTGGAGTCCTGAGTGGGTGCCGGACAGGCTCCAGCTGCGGGTTGACAGTGATGCGGTAGTCTGCACACAAGCGCACACCGTCCTGCTTCGGGATGGGCACCAGCGGTGTGCCCCACCCGGAGTAGACTCCTGCTTCCACCCGTTCAGCGATTCCTTCCTCCACCCAGCGGTCCAGTTCCCTGTCGACCAGCGGCTGCAGGGCAAATGGTACAGTTCTTGCCTTCCTGTACACTGGTTTGGCACCTTCCTTCAGCTTCAAGCTGATCTTGATCGGCACCCTTCCCAGTTCTTCACTGAAGACCTCCTGGTGTCTTGCCAACACATCCTCCAGCTGCTGCTCCCTCTTCAGCTGCAGCACCCCGTGTGGGGTCAGGCCCAGGGCTGCCATCCATTCCCTGCCCAACAGGTTCACTGGCTTAGGGAAGTCGACCACCACCAGACGCAGGTTCTTCTGTTTTGTGCCACGCTGAACCTTCACCACTGCCTCACCCTTGACAGGGATGGCATGTCCAGTGAACGACGACAGCACTAAGTCCGATCTCTGTAGGCACAGACCTGGAACACTGCTGTCCGATCCTATGATGGTCACTGGGCTTCCCGTGTCCACCACAAACTCCATGTCCGTGTCGTTGACCTGTAGGGTCATCTTCAGTGGGGCCATGTGACTGGCCTCTGACCCCTGACCCTGCTGCACACACCACAGCTCTGTCTCGGACTGGGACACTTCCTGCACTGGGACAGGAACTACCTTGCTCTTGCAGTTTTTCTTGAGGTGTCCGGGCTGTCGGCACTTGTAGCAAACCGGACCACGCCCCTGCCGCTTTGTCGGTGTCCTCTGTTGCTGCTGCTTCGGCTGCTGCTGGCACTCCGCTCTCCTGTGGCCCGGCTGGCCACAGCGGTAGCAGGTCAGCTGACGCTCGGCCACCAGCTGAACAGGCTCAGCCGCTGGGCCGGCTGCCCCCGCCACCAGCTGTCCCGGTTCAGCCGCTGAGCTGGGGCCCCGCATCTGCTCAATGAGAGCCTCCGTCCGCTCCATGGCAGTAGCAGCAGCCACCACATCCTGCAGGGTGAGCTGGTCGCCCCGCTCAGCAGCCCGCTGCAGCAGCCGCTCCTGTAGCTTACCCTTGGTGCCGGCCAGGCATTGGTTCCGGACCTCCTGGTCCACACTCTGGCCAGTGAAGCCGCATCGGTTCGCAGCCACCCGCAGCCGTGCCAGGTAGGCCTCGAATTTCTCACCAGCCTCCATCCGGATAGTGCTGAAGGCCAGTTTTTCCGCGATGGTGTTGCGGGCAGGGGTGAGGTACGCCCTCAGCTTGGCCTTGCTGATCTCATACGCCCCCTCCACCCCGACCGGCTCTGGCAGCGTGCCAAACACCTGTTGCAGATCCGGACCGATCAGATGCAACAACATGGCTCGCTTCCGCGCCTCGCTGGTCACATCCAAAGCATCCAGGTAGAGGTCCACACTCGTCAGCCACCTGTCGAAGTCACCGCCCATCACGAACCGGTCCACCCCCGGGAGCATGGGCGCCGCCATGATTGTTTTGTTCCGGCCGACCTTGACCGTCCAACCGCTGAGCAGCAGTCAGCTGACGCACCCGCCGACGGCCAGCTGGCGGCTGTGTAGTTCCCCGCCGCTCCGCACCGCGGCGCTGGGTGCTGCTGCCCCAAAATGGCGTCGGTCCGTCAGTGACGTCACAACCCGGGTCTCGGTCGCACCACGGTTCAACCCGCCGCAGGCCACGGGTCTCCGGCAAACTGCCACCCGCACCGCACGAACCGTCACGAGTCCCGCACGTCCCCAGACCGTCCACGGCACTCCGCCACACGCCACTGGCACGTCCGAGTCCGCGACACTACCGCGCCCCGACCACGCGCCCCGCCGGCCGCCGCACCGCACCGCCGCGCTTAGAACCGTTCGACTCGTCGCCAAGGTGTTCTGTCGTGGTCTCAGTCCCCGCGCACAGACCGGGCGGAACGGTACGAGATGTATTCCTCGTTCTCGGCTCAGTGCACGCGTAACAGGCGATACGTTATACGTTCCCCCTCGCCGGGCGCCGGTGCGCGACTGACGTCACAGCGCCAACCCGCGATTGGCGCGCCCCCGACGGCGTCCGCACAAACTCCCGGTTATTAACACCGCGCAGAGGTGGCGCGACGCCACACTGGGGGTCGCGAACTGGTGTGGTAACCGTTACGCCCACCTGGGACGCCCGAGTCGGTACGGCACTTGCGGTGTCGTAACCGGATCGGCGGGAACCAGCAGAACGCTGTTGGACTGGCGGTGAAAGTCGGAACCGAGCACTCGCCCACCAGTGGGGCGTCTGGTCGAGCAGTAGGGTTGTTCAAAAAAACCGAATTTTGGAAAAGTATACGGGCTCATGGCTCGTGTGGTGAGGTATTCTTTTCTGAGTCCAACGATGCCCTTTTTTCCGAAAAATATTAACTGCTTCATGCTCCCCAAACGGCTTGAAGAGGACCATGTCACGCCCGGCGACCGGCCGGTGTCAATAAGGGCGAGAATTCCCCGCCGCGCGAGAGTGGAGGCGCCTTATCGGCACCGCGCGCCACGACATCTACCGGGCGGCCGGCCGGCCGGTGGTGGGAGGGAATGAATGCGTGGTCTTCTTTCACATGATAGGGGTGCGCTAGCCAAGTATTGTGGGAGCGGAAAGCTTCAGTGCAGCATCGTTGCCTCTGCTGCGGTGTTCTGTGTCGATGGTTCAGAAAATAGGCCAAACAGAACTAAGAAAAGACTCAATGCATAACGCCCGTGACACAGGGCGCAGCTGCCACTCAACGAACCATATCGCTTTGTTCATTAGTCAAGAAGAGAACTCTGAGCAACAGCACAGCTGTTTGCACTGCTGTTGACAACTTACATTGCTTTTAGACATGACGGTGGCTAGCAGCCCACATATGCTGTTGCCAACTGTATGCGAGAATTTGAAGTTTACTAAGAACAGCAGGAGCTGGCAAGGTGCAAGGACAGAATATGGAGACCCCGACATCGACGTTAAGTTTAACTTACATTTGCAGTTAAAAAAAAGGATGACATGCCCGGGAATGATGCGGTGGCCATTCTGATTTATGACGAAGTTGGGCGTGAGTAGAGATAATAACGGGAGTACACATACAAGTCAAGCGCCCCTCAATCCAACCCCCCGTGTCCACCGATGTCGTTCAAGATCCGAATCCAGAGCAGGCATAGAGCATGGCTCTGCCCTGACGTGACATATCCCCGGCGTGTCACGACGGACAGACCATTACCTCGCCTGTATAAATACAACAATGTATACAGTACCTATACCTTACCTATTTCCACGTCTCATTTTGACTTTTGAGGCGAGAACTAGAAGCGATCAGCGTCCAGTTCAACTTCGACGAAGACTCGTATTCAGACCCGGCAAAGAGAGCACGGCTCCCCAGTAAAAAATACCATTTGAAACCATTAGGATTTACCAATTGGTTTCAAATGTGTCAAATGGTTTGAAATAGGTTCTAATGGTTTTTATGACCATTTGAAATGGTTTCCAATTGGTAATTTCCCAATTGGTCTGAAATGGTGTTTTCCATTTGGTCCCAATTGGTTTTGAAATGGTTTCCTAATGGAAAATAAATCCCATTTGATTTCAAATGGTGTTTTCCATTTGATCCCAATTGGTTCCAAATGGAATAAAACCATTTCATTCCAAATGGTGTGTCCCATTTGGTCCCAATTGGTATCGAAATGGTTTCCAATTGGTAATTTCCCAATTGGTCTGAAATGGTGTTTTCCATTTTATCCCAAATGGTATGTCCCCAATTGGTATCGAGATGGTTTCCAATTGGTAACTTCCCAATTGGTCTGAAATGGTGCTTTCCATTTGATACCAATTGGTTCCAAATGGAATAAAACCATTTCATTCCAAATGGTGTGTCCCATTTGGTCCCAATTGGTATCGAAATGGTTTCCAATTGGTAATTTCCCAATTGGTCTGAAATGGTGTTTTCCATTTGATACCAAATGGTATGTCCCCAATTGGTATCTAATGGTTTCCATTTGAAAGAAACTCCCATTTGATCTCAAATGGTTTTTCCCATTTGATCTCAAATGGTTTTTCCCATTTGATCTCAAATGGTTTTTCCCATTTGATCACAATTGGTGTCCAATTGGTCTCCAAATGGAAGAAAACCATTTCATCCCAAATGGTTGTCCCATTTCATCCCAATTGGTGTCGAAATGGTTCCCAAATGGAAAAGCAAATCTGTTTTGAAATGGTGTCTCTCATTCTATTTCAACTGGTGTCGAAATGAAAAATGCATTTGAAAAACATTCAAGGGTCGTTTTAGGCAAAAAAACATACCTACTTATATGGCAATAACTTTTATTCCATGAGATGAAGAAAAGCAAAGTCCGAACCGTAGTCGGAGCTGGAGTCAATTTTTGAGTCAGAGTCGGAGTTAGAGTCATAAATCCACCACTTTGCAGCCCTGTTTCCAGATGTGTGACAAGTATGCTTCAAAAGTGTTTCTACCTTGATGGTCTCTAATGGTTTCAAGTGTGTTTTGAATACGGACTGGGTATCTATTAGTTCCCAATTGGATTTAATATACCCTGCCCAATTGGTACCCTAATGGTTTCTAATGGTTTTTAAACACATACTTAAATAATAGACTTAGAGGTAATGGGATGACCTTTGACTGGTTATACTTGATAAGCATCACTACAAGGCCTTGGTTTTTCATTAAATAAAAATTATTCGCAAAATCCACGCCGTTTCCGCTCATTTAAACAGCACTACTTTTTCTCTGTGTGCCTACGCTGGCGGCGCCCGACCGTTGGCGCCGGGCCGCGCCGGCGCCACAGTTCAAATCGGGCGTCGACATGGTGTGTCGTTTCGGGAACTAGCGACCCGCGGCCGGGCGCCGCGAAGAGGTGCCCGTAATAGGGTTTTGGGGCTATTTTTTCACGTTTCGGTCTGAATCGTGAAAAGTACTGGTCGTAGCAAATATGTTCCCTGGTTTCTGAATTTTCAGCCCACGTGGAATGCGACAGGACAAGAGTCATTTTCGTACAGACAAAACTGTGTCCGCGTTTTTTGGTCAAAGTAAAAATGTTCAGCAGCTTTTAACACGTGGGCCGCCGCAAAACAGGGTACACCGGAGGACTTACGATTCAATATCTCCTAAGCCATCATAGATAGCAAATATGTTCCCTGGATCTATGTAGGGGAGAGTGGGGCAAAGCGGCCACCCTAACGTTTCTAACGATGCCGACGCTTGATTTTTAAACTTGGAAAGATTCTTTCTATACCAATGTGATCCCTATTAAATTGTCTTTTATTCCAACTGCGTTTCATTTCCAAAGGCGTTCACATATGGGAGATATTAACAAAACTTCAAACCTATAGCATATTGGCCACTTTGCCCCATCCCTGAGGCAAAGCGGCCACTGGCGACTTCTCAAGTCCCGATATGAGAAACAGAATAGTTGCCTCATGCACGACTAGGGTATTTGATGGTGACAAGGTTTAAGGGAAGATGGATGTTTACTTTGTTATCTTCCCACCTATTGCTAAACAAAGAAAGAATTTTCTTGGAAAAACATTTAATTGCATAATTTGGTAACTCATGTAACCGAAAAGTGGCCAAGATGAATTCATGACGACACATTTGAATATAAATAATGTTTTTATCCAGATGGAAACAACTTATGGCCAATTGGGGGCTGCCACTTTGCCCCGGCCGCTTTGCCCCGCGCATACCGTCCCAGACAAAAATATTCCAGCTCAGCTATTAGTGGGGTAAAAAGCATTAAAATTGGTAGAAGGCATGTACGATAACCACGCAATGCATGGACAAAAACGCTTATAAAAATTCCAAAGGGTTATGGAATAAAATAACATTCAAAAATTGTAAACATAATTGGTAACCTGGCAAGAAATGCTTTTCCGTGTTTCACAGAACAATGGCGATGGGCCTGAAACCCCGGTCTGGCTCATTCGAACGACCGCAAAGAGAAGTATAATTGGAAATCATAAATTGGAACTGACGCCAGCTGTGGAGGGCTAAAACGATGGATGGCCGCTTTGCCCCGGGTGGCCGCTTTGCCCCACTCTCCCCTAGATAATACTTTAGAGAACACTTCAGGCCAAAAATTGTTTCTCGACAACTTACACCCAGCCCGCGTTTTTGTCGTAAATGCAGTGCAACACGGCAGCCGACCTTTAGGGCTCAGTTAGCGAGTTCATTTTTTAGCGAGCACTTCGAGCATTTCAGCGTTCGATGAAATGACATATTTTTTCAACGCAGTCGTTTCTTCATTTGCATCTAAACGCGACCTTTATGATAATGTGACTGTATCGTCACACTAGAAGTTGTAATTCATGGTAATTTATAGGGCTAATTCTCGGCGCACAGCAGCAGACGGACACCCACTGACCCACCATCTAAAGGCAGTTTGGCGAAGCAGTATCGTGAATCACAGCCGCGAGATGTCCCTAGCGAAGAACACCGTCTGTTTGCCCAGTTCTGTTTAAATACGTGATGTTTGCC